TCAACAATGTAATTTGAATAATATAACCTCACTCACGACGAAATGAAGTGAACTTTGAATGAAGATTGTGGAAAATGTAAGGCTTCTTCCGCAAATTTTTTAACTGATAACGTGTAATAAGGTGTCCTCTATCCATTTCTATCAATTTCATGATCATACCTGGGGGGCTTATTAGCGCAACGTAACCGCTTAGCTGGTTCTCTTAACAATACAAGATGTTATCATCGGATTCGAATGATGAGTCTTCCTTTTCCGGAGCAGGTCTGTGAAAGAAAAGATGTATGATTTAGGTAGCCTATTAAGTTGTAAAAAGGTTACCTACCTATTAGTTGTTTCACTGCTGCAAAGGCTTCGTTAGGAAAAATATGTGGATTAAGAGGCCAAATGCCTGTTTTTGCAAACCCACTAATGGCATTCTGCGCAGTTGACGCCCTTAGGAACGCTTTTCCAAACAATTGTCCAACTTGTCGTATTGTTTGTAACAGTTTAAAATAGTATTAACCTTTGTAGTCATATTTCTATTTCCATTACCCTGTATTGTATTACATGTTCGCGCATCGTTGAATGCAACCAATATGTTAATTCTCTAGTTACTTTTATATTTTTGTGTTGCCTGCCCGTTTTAGTTTCTCGATCTACCGATCAATGACGTCAGTTTACTGTAATTCGATACCTTGCTGTCATTGGTTTTTAAATTCGTTTCCTTTATCGATAAGCATTAGATATTACCATTTATGGTATTGACATATCCATCGGCTCTCGTGGTTGGTTGGAATTATTCGTCGTCGGTTGCATCGTGACCGGAAACAAGAAAGTTAGCGTCTTCTTTTCTCGCCACCTGCTTTAGAGAGACGGTCGATTTGTGATCCCGAGTTGGGGGTGCTTGTTATATCTTCCAGTGGTTGATTTTGGATCGAACACCCTTGCGAAAGCATCTTTTAACCAAGTCAACCCAAATTAATGTTTGCACCAAGCCGTTTCGTTTTAATGCTTGGGGACACACTTCCGTAAGGAATTTTTTTTGTGCTGGAGGAATTTTAAGCCACCTTAATCGTAAGTTATACTCCGTGTGATCGAATCCACTTTACCTTCTTTCTATTTCTAGGGGGAATCCATCGTATTTATGGTATAAGAAGGCTACCTTACTTTAACGAAGTTCTTTTTTTTTTGTGTACTCTCTGCTTTAAGAGGTTAGCGCATTATATTTGGTTAACCGTGGCCATAATTACATTATATTTTAGAGTCCTTGTAAGGAGTCAAAGTCCAACGATTCCGTAGCTTCTACTTACTTTCTAAGCGAAACACATCTACGTTAAACGACAACATGCAGGAGTTCCGTGTACTGTAAAATCTGCCATTGAAACGTTACTATCTCTAAGGCGCAGCCAAACAGATACTGCGGACACCAACCCTTTTGACACCTGTTGCGGTACATAGAAAACCGTTAGCCGTTTACACGTACACCAGGAATCTTTAGGAACCAGAGACCTGCCTATCGTAGTGGTGATATCTTATTATTGTTGAAACTACTTATTGCCTTTGTGTATTTGCATTTCGTTTAACCCATACTTATGTGGTAAATGTTAACTGGCCGAACACTAGAGCCACCCATATTACTCTTAATTAGTACGCTTGAACTTGAAAGGGAATAATTTGCGTTAATTAACTGCATTTACTCATGTGAAGTAAATCACCTGTGAAGTACAGAGCTCTATACTATGATTTAAACTTCGATACCCTACAAGCTACCAATCAAGGTATTCAATCCATTGTCAATTTAACCCATTAAACTCAATCACTGTGCAACGGTAGTGGGTGTTCTATACCTACTTTCAGGATTTTTGGTGTGAACTAGTTTCAGCTACTAAATTTATGTAATATTTCATTGGGGGAATTTTATGTAAACCTTGGAATTTGGGATAATTATTTCAACACTTATACTTGGGGTTGTTTAGTTTTTACATAACGTGTTTATTATACTTTATTGATTTTTGATTCCCATTTGGGGAACATAACTTTTGTGTTGGTGTTACGTATGCAGGTGCAATTGCACCCAATAAACATTTTTTTTTGTGGGTTATCAGTTGCCTACTTTAAAGCTAACGCTACCTTTCCTAGTTCCGGTAGTGGCAAGCGAAACTTTTAACTTGGAATTAGGTGGCGCCCATAGAGATTTTAATTGAAGCGACCAAAAGTAAGTACTGACGACCTAGGCTGGATCGAGGAGTTATAAGTGCCAATTACCAATTGAGTTAATTCTGTTACCCACAACCCTGTACATTAGTCTTTCTCTCTCCGCTGTTTGCTATTTGATCAACAGAGCTAGCTGGCCGGTCAGCGGCGTGTGTTTTATTTATGAAGCACATGGTATTTTTGTAGTGCCTTGCATCTTGTTGCTTGCGCGTTATATGTTATTGGTCTTCCAGGATGATTTCTTAACCAAAGTTCACATTCCTGCATGTAAAAGGTGCTGAGAGGAAACATGAACGAAACGTCAAGTGGTTGAAGGCGGTGACTGGTATGTGGAGGTAGGCAAATAATATGAACATGTTTTTTTCTAGCTGTTTCAAGTAAGGCAATATTTTTTGTGTGGCTTGCGTGACCATCTAGAATTAGTAAAATGGGTTGATCCGCAGTTGGCTGGGCATGTCGTAAAAAGTGATCGAACCATGTTGGGCAAAATATTTCTGTGTACATCCATCCAGAAGGATGGCATACAAGTTTTGTATCAGGCGGTGTCCCCTCTAACAATTCTAAATTTTCTCTTGCTCTTGGAAATATCATTAAAGGGGGAATATATCTTCCTGCTGCATTGAAACAAATGACTGACGTAGTCGTCGTTCCCCTTTCTGGTGAACTAAGTGTTCCCACTTGTTTTTTGCCTTTGATGGTTTGTTTGGAACCGTTGTGATTCCTGTCTCGTCAACATTATAAATTTGGCTTGGCGAGAACTTATAGCGATCATACAGTTCAATCAGCATGCTAAAAAATGCAGAAACGGTATGCCGGTTAAAGGCCGTAGCTCTAGCGATTGAGGTTTTTTCAGGAGTTCGTAGAGAAAGCCTCGAGTTTCGCTTTAAAAAGGTCAAAACCCAATCTTTTCCCGCCTTTCTCATCATTAAATGGATGAGTTATTCCGTTCCTTACAGCGAACTGATAAGCCAGATGCCTTAAATCTGATATCCTTAAGGCTGGGGTCTCTTGCCGTTATTTCTTTCATAAAGCTAACAGATGTCATTGTAGTCGTCATTATTTGCTGAAACGCTTGGACTCCGCCTTATCATTTAATACGACTACCTGCTCGAGAATCTGAGTCATATTTACATGTATCTTTAGCCGCCCACACTTTGTGAAATTAAATCCGTCTACATCCGTATATAAATGATAAGATTTTAATTGCATTTATTTCAGGTTACGTAGCTACCTTCTTATTTTTACGTTCGTTCCAGTTTTGTGAATTGATATTTTTATATAACAAAATACTTAGTGCTTTCAGGACACCTTATTTTGTTTACGTATTTACGGACTTTCTTACTTAAATATTAAATTTAGCGCTGAAGCTGAACTGTAGTTTTTATAATCACCACGTTAGTAAAAGCATTGTAAAAGTATACATATGGGGAGTTAGGTATTGCATTGGGGTAAAAAATGACCCCACACTTTTTGGGGCATCAGAAATCCGAATCAAACAAAATTCTTAGACATAAAGGAAGAGCTGGAAAGCTTTTGGGCAGAATGGCGTATGCGCAAATGTGTGAAAGTAACAAATAATTGTCAATTTTTGTATTATGACTAGACTAATTGCATTGAATGGAATAAAATTGGGTGCGTATGTTCTATAGAAAGTTTATTTTTTTGAAAAACGGAAAATTATAACTAAAAGTGTGAGCAGATGCAGTATTTTTTTCTCTAAAAGAAACATATTTAGACTTTTGCTCTAAAATAATTAGGGGAGCTAGTAATTGACTATAAAGAAATTACCATTGAAATCCTTATGCTGCGTCGCGCTGGGCACCACCCGGTATATGGTTGGAAAGAAAAAAAAACATGTATCAAACTATGAGCATTGAATTTATAAGTTATAAATTCAATGCTATGAGTAAAAATCCAATACGGCATCCATTTACAATGATGAAGTTGATGACAATATCTCGAAAACCGCCATTTTGAAAATTTTTTTCTGCGTGCATTGAATTTATCCCATCGAATCTTGCAACTTTTACTCTTTGTTACTAAAATATCTGAACTTTTTAAAAAATAACGATTTTCACTTTTTTTCAAAATATCGCATCGAAATATCCCTCCGCATCAAAAACTACACAATTTTGCCAATTTAACTGAATCTGTAAGTATGGGTAATAATAACAAAGATAGATATTATCTTACTCAATTTTAGACACCCTATATAGAACTACTTTAGGTAAAAAATTAGTTTGTGTAAATAAGAGTATTAGTACCTAAATAAGCGATCATTAGATATATATTCATAAATTACAAGATCGTATAATGTTAGAGGTTCCTATACCGATAGCAGGTACCTATCTACCTATGCACCAATAATAAATAGGTTTTTACATTAACTTTGAGATAAACTAAATATGGTAATAAAAATATCCAACAGTTTTATTCGCAAATACGTGGAGATCAAAAATGATTAACCGTAAAGAATCGATTTTAAAGAATTCTACATGGTGCAGTATGTACGGCAACGACAAAATTATAATGGTCCTTCGATGCTTAAAATGATAACCATACCTTTCTAATTACAATAAAATATCGATTGTTGAAAACCTCATCTAGAACAGAATTGTTTCCGTTCTCGATTTATCGTATAATCTAGACCAGGTTAGGTACATAGAACGACATAAGAATTTGATTTTATGATTTCTTTGGAAACTTTTTGGTAATTTGTAATTTTTTCATATTTGCGACCGTTGTCGAGAAATAAAAATACAATTTTCGGTAGGCACCTACTTAGCCAAATGAATGTATAATTTTTAAAATGACCTTAGCTTTATTTGGATAATCTCTTGATTTTATTTAGAGTCTTGACAGTTCGCATTTGAAATTGTATCTTGTGTTATATACAAATTACAGGTTTAATTTATAAAGTGTACGGTGAAGTTATAACATCCTGTAGATCAGTAACGAAACGTTTGCGGAGCTATGAATGTTTATATAAACTTTTAGTCATAAAATAAACCAAGAATTAGCCCCTTCCGTATTTGCATCACATTTAGGAATACCTTATGCAATTATACGTACATTGCGAGAATCAGGTAAAGTACCGATGAAGTAACCGATCTCGATAAGGGGAGGTGGATGGTGTTTGGTAGAAATCAATTCTTTTCGTTGAGACTTTTCATTAGAATACCTACCATGGATAAAATTACTTTCCAAAAAAATGCGCAAAAAACTGTTAAGTAATCAATAAATCGATTTAATTCAATCAAACGCCATACTATAACAAAGTTTGGGTTTTCAATTCGGTAGTGTGTCTTTTCATTTCTATTGATAGCCTGATACATAAATATAGAATAAGGATCCTACCAACGGTAAGTACATAGGTATAAATGAATATAAAGTATAATTGTGTTTTATATATTATATAGGAAGTAGGTGGGTATTTCTGTGTAATACGAGTGCAACATGTATCTCCACATGAACTTTACATATCATTGGACGATGTTATAATTTATTATGTAGATAAGAGTGAAGGTGTGAACCTTTAATTATTAGAATTTGCGTTCCTAATTTTCAGGAAAACGAAACGCCAAAAAAAGTTTTGGTTTTCATTGGCGTAATGTAGGTGAGTAAACTTACATATTGAAGTTTTTTTGAAAAAAAGCGGTTTTTTGACTGTAATTCCCAAACCAATTGAAATTTTTTTTTCAAAATTGTTCATTTTGTGTAGAATTATATTAGTTTACTACACTATAAATTTCAACAAATTCGGTTCACTGGTTCGCCTGAAAATTAGGCACGCAGTATCTCCATAACGTTATAAATGCAGACTCCAACCTTAAGCCAAAGTATCTGCTCTCCATGAACAGACAATGTTCTTTTGTTTTGAATTTCATCTCATAGGCGTACCCATTTTCTTAAATTTCTTCGCTTCTTTCGATTCTTGCCCTCTTCTTACGATTGTATTTACCTTTTCACGCTTTAAACGCTTCTTCCTTCCTTACTGTTTTCACTATTCTAATTTTCGAATCTTATGTGTACTATTTTATTCATTGTTACGCCTCTGATTCGTTTCAGGGCCATCTGTTGGTATTTCGTCTAAACTACGCTATTCTTTCCCGCTCTTTTCAAAAATCTGTTCTTCTTTTCCCTCTAACTTTTTATGTTCCTTAATTATTGGTTCGTTTTTTTCAAAATCTACGTTTCGTTTTCCGTTTTCGATAATTGTCATTTCTGTAGTGTGCTGTGAGGTGCGAAATTTTTATAGCCGCATTAATCCTGGCAATAATAATAAACGCGTGAAGTTGTCCCTTAAAAAGGCACCCTCGCAACAAGTGCAAACTGCTCCAACTATGTTGGGGCAGTTGCTCCTGCAACCAAACGTCATCACGACCATCAGTGCGCAACCGGCGGGTACGTCGGGTACAGGGGCGCGACAGGAAACACAGCGGATTCCTGATCAAACCCCTGTACCTGTAATATCCATAGCGGATAGTGACGTGGAGGACGAGTTCAATCGTCTGTTTGAAAGGTAAGTTTTCATTAATTTATACCTTTTTTTTAATTTAGTAAATGCGCTATGCAATACACTATTTCATACTATTTTCATTTTTTTCAAGCGTAACGCCCCCCACGTTACCTTCATCCACCCCGCTCCGGGCGCCGCCGCCACCACCACCACCGCAGTATGGTGGAAAAAATTTAGATTTGCTGCGGGGGGGAGGAACACGTCATTTTTAGTCCTGAAAGTCAGGACATCCTCCCCCCATACAGTCAAATGGATCCGGTGCTGCAGCAGCAACCTATGGAGCAGCAGCTGCATCACCAGTCACAACAACAGCACCAGCAGCAGCCCCAGCCCCAGCCCCAAGCCCAACTTCAACCCCAGGCTCAGCACCAGCAGTCCCAGCATCAGCAGCCCCCGCATCAGCAACAGCAAGCGGTTCCTCCAACCAACTTGGAGGAATTCCGAAATACTGGTGTGCAGTGGCTGCGTGCGTTGTTGGGGACGTACCGGCAGAGTGCTGGAGTTCACGAAGGGCGGATCGCCCAAATGCGAGCTGCCCTCGAACGTGAATCGCAGAACTTCGAGGTTTTGCGGAATAATATCCGCAAAACCGAGAATGTTCTGCGATTGCTCGAGGACGCGGAAGTGTAGTATTAAGATATTTTTAAGGTATTATAATTTAGTTAATAAGTAGTCTTAGTGTTATTTTAGTTATTGGGAGTTTTAGTTTTTCTTTAAATAAATAATTATCTTTACGTGCGTGTTATTATCACACATCATCAAATTCATAGCAATTTTTAAGGTAGTTCCTACTTTATAGTTTGAAAAAAAAACTCAAAGTCATAAATCTAAAACGCATTCAGGGCGATTAGCTTAATCATTGGTACAAGTCGCAAATTAATAAATTAATTTAGTTTAGTCCATACTTTTTCTGTCATTTAAAAGTCACGAACTTCATCCATTTCGATTTGTTAAGCAGGCCTGCCATATACAATGGATGCTCTTTTAAATAAAACTGTTTCTATTTCCTTGCATCACCCTGTATAAAACAAATTAATTTCAAAATGAGATACGTTTATTGGTTTACACATAGCTACTACGGAAAAATTGGCAACTCTATTTATTAAGCGTTTCCAAAAAAAAAATGGGAAATTACACTGAATTTAAAAGGCCATTTCCAAAAAAATATTAGTACCTTGACATTACACTGTCACGTTCACCCATTTCGAAGTTTAGTAGGTCTGCACTTGAAAGTGTTAATTGTGGAGGCTTTTTAAATTCACTTTTAAGTTACGCAAAAGTACTTCGTAATGCTGTTTCAATTTCACGGCATCACCCTGTATAAGAGAAATTCATTTCAAAATGAAATATGTGTTTATTGGTACATACTATATAAAAATTAACAACTTTACAAATGATTCATTACCTTAAACGTCCATTTCCAAAAAAGTAAAAAATTCAAATGTGCACATAACTTTTAAACGCGTATTTCCAACAAATAATGGTAAGAAGTTCAAAATTATTAAATCCAAAACACTAAACCTAAACGTATATTTCCAAAAAAGTAAAAAATCTAAAATTCCACTAGGAATATTAAACTTTACACTTTTTTATTTAATATCTAATGTGCATAGTTTTTGGTTTATGCACGAAAGTTCGTTATCAAACTTCACTTTCGTCCTATATCCGAATATTTTCACGTTGTTGAAGATGACGTCCTCCATTGGTGACACCATCTCCAATTGGCCCTGAGGGTCCATTAGTAACCCGTACGCATTCTTTCGGTCACCCACCGTTAACGTTTTCATTTTTCTTTGCGCCTCCAACATCTCCACATCAAATTTTAATTGCTTGATGTTTTTTATTAACGTTTCCAGCCTTCTCCTCTTCTGGACAGCTATCTCTACTTTAATCACTCCACCACGCCTAGTTACACTACCCTTCTTATGCATGTTTTCTCGATCAACACTGTTGCTTAATGAACTCATAGTCACGTAGGAAAGCCTTTTATTACAAATGTACAACTTTCAACTTGACACTATCGAGTGCCATGAAGGTTACCGCCAAGGAGCGGGTGACCTTGAAAATCCTCACCTCTACCTACTTTCCAAAGTCACCGACCGACGTTGAAGGTTTTCACCTCTATCTACTTCTCAAAGTCACCACCGAGAGCGACCTTGAAAGTCTTCACCTCTACCTACTTTCCAAAGTCACCGACTTTGAGCTTCACCTTGACCTACTTTCCAAGGCCACCACCAGGTGACCTCTGAATTTCACCTTGACCTACTTTCCAAGGCCACCACCAGGTGGCGAGTGACCTTGAACTGGTCCAGAACCGGCCCTATATAACTACTAACAATTTTTGGGATTTTACCGTACTCAACAAAAAGGATTTAGTATCCATCCTTTTAACTTGTGTTTCCGAGTACAACCAATATAAATATTTTAACTCTTGCTCGCCGGATTTCAACCCCTTTTGATCCGAGCGTTAATTTACTACCACCGATTGTAGCACCCAAAATATTGTATTGTTTCTACATTTAAGGCCCACACCATCTCGGCCTTGTATTTTTCCCCTACCTGTACCGTACTGCTTCAAACTCTTCGTCTTCAGTCTTCGTCGTCCGTCTTCAGTCTTCTATCGATACCCTCAAATTGCTTTCCATTTGATCCCTTCTACCCTCTTCCCTTATTTTCCCCACACTTAGCCACTGGTCTACTCACCGAATCTGCCGAAAAACCGCTGGACATCTTCAGGAGCCAGGAAAACAGCTAAGCACCTTCCAATTCACCGTTATTCACTTATGATTGCCCGTTAAGTTTATTTAAAAAAAAAACCATTAATTCAGTCATCTTACCATCCCTTTAATTAATTATTTCAGTCACTTTTGTGTCTTACTGTGAGACGAGATCTCGTTCCGTGATTTTTTTGCTTTAATTCCCTGTTATCGTTCCACTGCCATTTCTCATTCACCATCATTCGCCCTACAATAAAAATATTCCTATATCACTACTTTTCTCTATTTTGTCCTCCTTATTTGTCTTGCATTTCCAGATCACCAGGAGCAGGGTTCTAATTTTTCCTGTACGGCCAAATTTAACAAAAATTAGTGGCGCCTACATTCTCCGAGCAGTTTTTTTCAGTTTCGTCGAACCACCCCATACCACCGAGAGCAGCTGGAGCCGTAATGCTAGATTCTTCCCTTTCCTTCTAAATTTTCTTCGTCACAACTGTAAGCAACTAGTAGGTGTTCAAACGCTGATACTGAAGTTATTTGATTCCGAAAATCATACGATGTGTTGTTCTCACTTATTAAATATATCCCTCTTTAGTATTTTGCAAACGATAACAGAGAGTTTGTAATATATAGTAGAAATTTCCTTCCGTTTCTCAGTTCTATCGTCGTCGCGCAAGAGAATTAATTATTACCATGTCGTCACGTAAATCAAAACTATCACTTAAAAAAAATCGGCACCAGCTAACATTTTACAAAACATGTTGGAAAACAACGCACCGAAAAAAGTGGGGAACAGTAGTACTTAACGGATAATAATCTGTTCCCCCACTCGCCGAAAAAAGTGTTACCGGATAAGAATAAACCGTTCCAGACGCCGTTGATGGATGGTGACCAATGTAGTGTCATTACCATCCATTCGGATAACTCAACAGTCAAGTAAGTATCATTACTTTTTTCTTGGAATTTATGTAGCAATGATAATTTGTTATAGAACTCTTGCCCACCTGTGCGAGAATTTTGATGTGGAGTTAGTAATGGCGCAATTAGACGGAGGTGACGCTGCGGACCATTTATGCTCCAGCGAACGGTTAGTATAAAAGTTTATGTTTCATGAGATATAATAATAATAATGTTTGAAAGTACATGTTTCAAGAACACACCTATTTCTTTGTAGAGTTGTCCCAACGCCACATCTATCAGAGCGGCAGTAGTCTCCCACTCCGCCAGCAGAATTTCGCGCTCCTCTTCTACCTCTAGGCAGGTCGGAAAGTCCGAAGACGAACCGGTCGATCCAAGGGTGTGTGCGAAGAGACGGTGAGATGTTAAAAAAAATGAAATCGAATATAACTAATAGTTTGTTTCATCAATTGTTACAGGCGCAAATGTGGCAGAAAAAAATTAGAAACCCTGCTGAAAACCCATGGGCTGGAGGAGGGGTACACACCCGAGATGCCATCCACTTCGGCTGTTCCAATTGCTGCAGCGCGGGAGATTGCGTCACAAGCGCACCAACTCTGCTGCAGAAGTATGCAAATCAACTACAAGAAACGCAGGATCTCAATTAGAACGTCAAGTGGAGGCGTCCCGGATGGAAGAACGAAAAATTGAACCGTTACATTTTAAGTTTTGTAAATGTTTGTGGTAGAAAATAGTGTATATAGTTGTAGTAAATAAAAGGTTGTAAGATAGTTTTAATAAATAAAAGGTTGTAAGATAATTGTCGTTTACATTGAACAAAAAAATTGTTCACATTACCTACTAATCAAGAAATGTGACATTGGAATAAGTTCAAAAATTTTGCGCTCCTGGAATTTTTAAATTTGTCGTGGGTTCTATGCAGTTTAAAAAATTTTCTCAAAGGCAAATGCATTTTATAAGAAGTGTTTTATCTATTGAAAGTATAATTTTCCAAAAATTTCAATGCATTACCGCAAAATGAGGTCCTCTACATATTACCGAAAAGTGCCGTGAAAATTTAATTTGTACTTACACATTTGCGCTTAATGATAGAACGTCAAAGCGTCCTACTAGCAGGACCGCGGTCCTGCTGGAAGGACGCATGTCGGACATCACGCATTTTAATAGGAAATTGTGCTTCTAGCAGGACGTAATGCCCTCTATTGTATTCCCCGGAAAATTTTAGTTCTAAATGATGTAAATTTTAACCCGATTGCATCAGTAGGAGAAAAGTTACGGACGAAGACGATTGTTTTGAGAATTTCAGTGGCGTACTTGTATATTATACAATGCCTCGGAAATTTCAGTTAGGTGATAGAGTTCAAACTAAAGCTACTAACTTTGACAAACCGGGTGCAAATAGTTGGAGTGTGTCGATTTTTGGTGCGAATCATTTAGAGGCAATATGTAGCGGCACTGTTCAACAAATCGATGATCGTATTGCCACCGTTTTATGGGATTGGATAACGAACAAATGCGTATTCCCACAGCTTTGTTGGAGAAAATTGGTAAGCATTTTTAAAGCAGTTTTTTTTGTTTTATTATGAGTACCACCAGATGGATGAATGCTATTACTATGAGGTTTATAATTTTAGAAACAACATCAAAAACAGTTCCCTGTAGCAGCAAAAGGAACTACGATAGATGTCTAGAGTTGGATTATAATGCGATGCCAATAAGAACAATCACCCGACTTTACTTGGTAGTGAACCAGAATACCATGAAAGTGCCTCTTCTTCCAGTGATAGTGACATAGAAGATGATGAGGATGCTGAAGTTGCTGATCATGTTAATGTGGCATCTGAAATGGAAATGGAGAATGTGTTGGTGCACGATACTATTTGGAAATTTGGAGTAGTCAATAGAGTAGATAATTATACAGAAAATAAATATAGGCCAATACTGCGCACCGCCAATATCCATAATATGAATGAACTGGATATGTGGCTCCTATTTTTTCCAGTAGAAAATATTGACAATATTCTTCAGGCCTGTAATTTTGATGTGGATCCCGAAACAAAACAGATTGACAAGGGTGAGTTTTTCAAACTCATAGGTCTGCTTTATGCTATGAGCACAAATATTCTACACAGTCGAAGGGAGTATTGGTGCACAAAAGAGGAAAATATGCTGTTTCCACCACCTGCGTTTGGGCGAAGGTTTGGAATTGGATACCACCGATTCGAGTATGTTCTTCAACATTTATCCTTTTCTAAAGAAAACCAAAATGATGACAGATGGAGGTGTATACAATCCCTAATAGACATGCTACATGAAAAATGGTGTGATATTATTCAACCAGGGTACAAACTATGTGTCGACGAGTCTATGTTTTCATGGTACGGCCGTGGCAATTATGATCCAAATGGAATGCCATCAGTAGGGGAGACCGGGGCACTTTCGGACACGGGGCACATTCGGACAGTTCAAATTTACCGCGTTAAGGGTGTGTTAAACAGCTAAGCAGTTGGTAATACTCTTCTCTAGTGTGTATAAGTGGCTCACGAAAACGTTGGCGGTTTAACGTGATTTTGTGCAAATTTATAGTGAAATTGGTGTTTTTGTAAGGTATGATATACTTTGTTACTTATTAGTCATAAAGGTGTACACACGCAGTTGGGAAAATATTACAAAATTCAGTTTGTTCACTATAATAGTCAATGTTTTTCGCATTTTGGGGTTATACTATTCAAATGCTAAAGCCAAGCCTTTACCGAAATTTTACCGCTTAAAAAAATGCGGCATTCCGGGGCACATCCGGACAAAACCGCCGGGGCAGCTTCGGACTGTCCGAATGTGCCCCGTTTGGATCAATGGTACAGCATTACATTATTTACAGATGGTTCGCCACTACAAAAGAAAAAATTTGAGGCAAGAGGTTTCGAAGATAACAATAAAATCTGCAATACGAGACCACGTTGTTAATAAATTATCAATTAGGGAAGTTGCGGTAAAATTGTTGTAAATATCAGAAATTCACCCACTAGTAGCGACATCTGTTCTTCTTGTTTTTGTTACGCGCTGCCTACGCATCGCTTGCTTTTAGTGAAGTATGTAAAATACAGTACTTCGGGCAACACGCGTCTCTTTTATTCCTGCAACTATTAACAGCATTCCCATCTTCTTTGCCGCTTCAGAAGCTAAATTATAATAGGTTATGGGCCCAGTGTCATAGAAGATAGGAGAATCGCGTAAATAATAGGGTAATATAAATTAAACGCAGTTTAGTGTCGTGTCCGTTAAGTGTAGTCGTTCAACAAAATGGCCGTCAACTACTTGACCAGTGTGCCAAAGCTTCTTGGTCGCGAGAACTACGACGAATGGTCTTTTGCCGTGGAAAATGTGTTTGTACTTGAAGGATTAAGTAAATGCATGGATGGCACTGAAGAAGATACTACTCTCAATATGAAGGCGAAGGCGAAACTAATTCTAACCATAGATCCTTCTTTGTTTCCGCACGTGAAAGAGGCGAAAACGGCTAAAGAAGTGTGGGCGAATTTAAAGAAATTGTACGACGACAATGGATTTATGCGGAAAATCGGGCTCCTGCGTACATTAATATCCGCTAGACTGGAAAATCACGACTCGATGGAATCCTACATAAATCAAATAGTCGAAACATCGCAGAAGTTACGCCGTACCGGTTTCAGTATTGATGAAGAGTGGGTGGGATCCTTGTTATTAGCAGGATTACCAGAGAAATATTCTCCCATGATAATGGCGGTTGAGCATTCCGGTATAAGCATAACAACGGACTCCATTAAAACCAAGCTATTAGACATGCAGATAGATGGCAGCAGTAACAACAGTGGTGCTTTAGTAGCGAGCAAGACAAACTACAGATCGAGTCACCGTAAGGGATCGAAAGGTGGCGCTAGTGGTTCGTGGTCGCGTGCCAAAGAATCAGCTGATGTTGCAACCAATTCGCAAACAGCTTCGGTAAACAAAAACAAAAGGGACTTGAACAATATCGTGTGCTTTAAGTGCAGGCAGAATGGACATTACATGTCAAAATGTCCCAACAACAACAACAAAAATGAAGGAGGTTTTAGTGCCGTCTTTTCAACCGAACAGTTTACTACTTCAGACTGGTACATCGATAGTGGTGCTAGCATTCATTTGACTGCGAATAAGGAATGGCTTAAGAATGTAAGTAAGCCTTATTTATCGGACATTGTTGCAGCTAACCAATCGAGACTTGTTGTTGAGTGTTCCGGTGATGTTGAAATTGAGACTGTGGCTGCTGACCTTCAGTATCGCGTTTTATTGAAGAATGTCCAATATGTCCCGGGTTTGACGACAAATTTATTGTCCGTGTCACAACTCATCAGTAATGGTAACCAGGTATGTTTCGACAACAATGGTTGCGAAGTGTACAATCCAAAGGGCATTTTGGTGGCAACGGCTAGCTTGAACAACAATGTATACAAGCTGAATGTCCCCAATAATGGTGCTGGTTGTTTATTGGCAAGCAGTAACGTATGGCACCGACGCTTGGGTCACATCAACAACTCCTATTTAAATAAAACAAGTAAATTGGTCGAAGGGCTTGTTTATAAGGGTCGTGCTAATGTAAGCAATTGTCAAGTTTGTTGTCAGGGCAAACAAACACGAACATCGTTCCCTAACAAAGGTTCCCGTGCAAATGGAGTACTGCAGGTAATACACAGCGACATTTGTGGTCCAATGGAGACAGTATCGTTAGGAGGTGCTCGATATTTTTTAACATTTATCGACGACTACAGCCGCATGTGCTTTGTTTACTTTGTGAAGACCAAAGATGAGACGTTCGAAAAATTTAAGAATTTCAAGACATTAGTTGAGAACCAACAAAATGTAACAATCAAGGTGTTGAGAACCGATAATGGAGGAGAGTATTGCGGCAAGGATTTCCAGGCGTACCTCAAGGATGCTGGCATCATCCACCAGAGAACTAACAGTCACACTCCTGAGCAAAATGGATTGGCTGAAAGGTTCAATCGAACATTGGTTGAAAAGGCCAAGTGTTTGATGTTTGACGAGAATGTAAGCAAGTCTTTGTGGGCGGAAGCATGCAATACAGCCTGTTATCTGAAGAATCGCTCAATATCAGCAGGCATTTCAAAAACACCATATGAAATCTGGACTGGCAAAAAACCCAACGTTTCCCATTTGCGTGTTTATGGCAGTGTAGTTATGGTTCACGTCCCGAGAGCAAACAGGAGGAAATGGGATCACAAGTCTGTGAAGCACATTCTAGTGGGTTATGACGACAGTATTAAAGGCTATCGTTGCTATAATCCGGTTACAAGAAAGGTAACGACCAGTCGAGATGTGATGATAATGGAAAACATCGACACAACACTATCAACGAATAATGACACCGAGGTACCAGATTCAGTGGGGGTGGAAGACGAGCACATAGAAGATTCGTGTGCAGACGAATCCATTTCTGAAGGAGACCTCAAAGACACCGTCGACTTCACAGACACAGATAGCGAGTATGTACCCGACACAGTTGTTGAACAGGAGACACCTATCGCAGTGCAACTTCCGAGAAGGACCGAGAGGCCTCATCAACCAAAGGTATGGGATGATTATGTCACATATCTAGGTGGTAGTAATGTTGTAGAAGGACCATCCAATGCAGATCTTCCAAAAACTGTTACCGAAGCGCTTTCCGGGCAGGATGGCTGTAAATGGAAACAGGCGATGTTGGACGAGATTCACTCATTCGAGGAGAACGGTACCTGGGAGTTGGTGGACCCTCCAGAAAACGCT